GGATATGTCCAGGAGCCTAGCAGAGGGCCAATGGATACATTATTAACAATGTTATGTTAATACTGTATGCATATTGTTTTGCCAGATAATCCAGATTTATACTTCAGTACTCCCATTTTACGAGGCAGTGTGTTCTACCACTGCACAGTTTTGTTCAGAAAAAATTATTACTATATTTTGGAGAGGTTTTTGCTATATGGTGCATGCACTCGCCAGACAGACAGAGACAGACAGAAAGCAAGAAATCACCCCCCAGGGGGGATGGCTACGCGGAAATCCCTTTTCCTTCATTCTCCTCTTGAGATCTTGGGCACGCACGCACATGCGCCCCGCGTGAGTTTAAGCCACTGAGTCTGGGACTCGAACCGTGGTCAGCTACATGGGAGTTCAGCGACATAGCTATTACGCTAACTGCCGGTCCTGTTCAGAAATTCTTATATGAAACTGAAACTTGTCTCCTACTTTGTTCATTTGGTGAGGGGTGAGGGATGGGCTGTTGGGTAGGATTGTTCTTAGGGACAGTCCAAGGCCTTGAGAATATTAGCCTAATGCCGTGCTCACTTAGAGGCCTAGGCTTCACACAGTCATAGCCTGAGCAGTCGGTTCTTTCCAGACTAAATACTCCCATCCCTTCGGCTGGCTCTCTTTAGTGTACTTTCTTGTGAGCATGTTAACCTCTATTTGCTTCAGTTTATTTTTTCTCAAAGGACTCAAGGTGTCCCTGTCTGGGGTAAGACGGGACTGCCATCCCCCCTTCAGTTGATGATGCTTAGGCAGCCTTCCTCATTGGCATCTACTTTGTTCTCCGTGATAAACAGGAGATTGGGTTCTGCCAGATCTTCCCCAGGCCCTTGTCCTTAGCATGGTGCTCCCAACCCCCTGCCACATGTGCCTTTGGAACTGGCTTTTTAGAGGCCGTAGTAGTTGGGTGGGTGGGACCCAAGATCATCCAAATTGAAATCTTCGGTGACGAGGCGACTGGAGCCTTCCGTAGAGTGATTGGTGTTTGTCAAGCCCCTGCCGTCTTCGGAACTCTGAAGGAGAACAAGGCAGTGGGCTGGATGACACATGAAGGCTCGGGAGCCTGCCCTGGGGTTCTCTCAGTCGTGAGGAGATAGAAACAAGGACTTGAGAGCCCGCATCGTGGCCTAATGTTTAAGGAAGCTGGATCCCACATGGCTAACCATGGCTCGAATCTTGGTCCCAGTAGCTTGAGAAACATGTTGGGCACGTGTGCGCGTTCGTGTGCCCTGGATCCCGGTAAGATGGAATGGAGGAGAAGGGACTGTGGTGTGACCACGCCATTTGGAGGGGTGTCGTCTCCCTCTCCCTCTCCCTTTCAATCTCTCATGAAGGCGTGTACCCTCAGGCAATTAAAAAAACGGAAATACTAAAATAACATTTTTTAAACTAGCAATAATTAACCCATATACTTGACGGAAGTGGAAAGTAACTGTAAATAGAATAAAAACAAAGTCGTGAAGTTCAGATACTGTCGCCTGTGAAAGCTTTGCGCCTGAGCGTCCCTCGCAACAGGAGAGTAGCAGAGGTGCTTCTGCCACAGCCACACCCAGTCGGCCGGGAGCCCTGCTGGCGTTAGCTTAGGACAAGGGAGGCCTGAGGGCCCGTCAGCACTCTTCACTGCCTGGCTGTCTGCAGTGGCCTTCCAACCTGTCTCTGCTTCCATCCTTGTCGCCATTCCCTCTTCTCCACCCAGCTGCCACAATAGTTCTTTAAAAACATAAATTAGAACATGTCACTGTGCTGCTCCGAGTCCCGCAGTGGCTCCTTATGGTCGGAGCGCTCCCATGGCATACAGAGCCCAGATCACCTGCCCTCCTCACCCTGCCCTGGCCTTGTCTGCTGCTCACGCCCTGCTTTCCAGCTGAGCCACACTGGCCTCCTGGCTGGTGCGATGCCCTCCTGCCTGGAATGCTCTTACTCCGTGCCTAGCCTGGCTCACTTGCACATCACAAATGTCACCTGTCAGAAGTCTTCCCTGACCAACCTTGTATAACAGTGACCCTCCTCCATTATTCCCTTGTTTTCCTTCCCAGCACACCAGAAATGATTGCTCGCAGTGAATCAGGGTGTTACCGAGCGCTCCCTCCATTACCTTACACTGAACATCAGAGGCTGCTTCAGGGAGGACTAGGCCTACCGAGCCCCACTCTGTGCTCGCATGGATGTTTATGGCAGTCACCTGATTAGACTGACTGAAAAAGGATGTGATCTGACAATTACAACTGTTGGAAATGAACGAGCCCTTTTGGTGATTACTTAAAAAAAAAGTACATTAGGTGGTTCTGTTGCGAATATTATGGATATAAATCAGTAGGGTTGACGGGAAGACAAAACTATTGATATAGACAAATGAGTATTAGTATTAAATGGCAAGACCATCCATAGGGCCAAAAGGGCTCTTTCTCTTTTTTTTTTTTGGAGAGGTTTTTCGCTATAGGGCGCGCATGCGCTCACCAGACAGACAGAGAGAGACAGAGAGACAGAAAGCGAGAAATCACCACCGCAGGGGGAATGGTCACACCTCAGTCCCTTCTCCTCCATTCTCCTCTCGGGATCTTGGGCATGCACGCACACACGCCCGGCGTGTTTTAAGCCAACAGGTCCGGGACGCGAACCGTGGTCGACTATGTGGGAGTCCAGCGACATAGCCATTACGCCAACTGCTGATTCCCCAAAAGGGCTCTTTCTCAAACAGCTTAGAAGTGAAATTGATAGGCTCTGGAAAACCACTTTTCAGGGCCCAGATGTGGCTTTAGTGATAACAAAGATACTGCAGGTGATGAGTTGCAGGTAACATTGTTTCATGAACTGTCAGTGTGAAATGCAGCATTTCTAAATGAGTATTTTATTTTTAAATCTTGCCAGAGTGCAAGATTTAAAAACAAAATAGAGAGAATATGTGAGAAAGCATCCCCCAGGGGGGTTGCCACACCACAGTCCCTTCGCCATTCCTAATTCCTGCTTTTGGAATTTGGGGCTTGCACACATGCACGTGTGCCCAGCATCCTCTCAAGACCCGAACTGTGCAGTCGGCCATGCGGGTCCAGCCAGCTGCGTCAACCACCATACCATCGGCTGGCCCTGAATATTTTACTTGTGACTTGAAATAAATTCAGCTGACTTGACAAATGTAATTAGCAGGTGACTCTTATCTCCACCTCGAATAGGTTATAAATTATGTTGACTTTTCATGATGAGAAAGTGAGGAGCTTGTCCTTTAGCAGATTGGGTCTGGAAAAATCTCCCTCTTGGGTTAGCCTGGTGGCGCAGTGGCTAAGGTAGCCGGATCCCACACGGCTGACAGCACAGTTCAAGTCCTGGACCTTGTGGCTTAAAGAAAGATGGCAGGGGGCCAGAAGGTGGTGTGATGGTTAAGGGCACTGGACTCCCACATGGCCAACTGTGGTTCAAGTCCTGGACCTCGCGGCTTGCTTTCTCACTTCCTATCTTATTTGCGCTCTCTCTTTTTCTCTCTCTGGGCAAATTAAAAATAAAGTTTACAAAAAAAAAAAAAAAAAAAAAAAAAAGAAAAAGAAAGATACCAGGTCCATATGTGTGCCCCTAAGATCCTGAGAGGAGAACCCAGGAGAAGGGTTGTGCATTGGCCATCCCCTCAGGGGTGCTTTCTCACTCTCCCTGTCTAATGTGTGCCCTATAACAAATTAAAGCACCAACAGAAGGACCCTCCCAATAACCTTCCTCTCATGGCGTCCTCCGGAAGGTGCTACTTCACAGGTCACCCCTCGGCACCCTCGAATGCCCGAGGAGCAGTGCGAGGGCCCTCTGGGTCACTGTGTCTGGTGGCTTCTTTCAGATTTCGGAGGCAACATCAATGTGGAGACCATCAGTGCCTTTATTGACGGTGGAGGCAACGTCCTGGTGGCCGCCAGCTCGGACATTGGTAAGTCGGACCGGAAGTCCTGGTGTGTCCGCTGTCCCTCGCTCGGGGGCGTTACGAACGGGAGCCGCTGAGTTGGCGTCTGCTGGGCGGACCTGGGCTGGGGAGTCAGCCAGGGAGCTGCAGGGCTGTTTGGCCTGGCCCCACCTAGCTTTCCTGTGACCGGAGACAAAAGATTTGGGGCCTCTAAGGGCTGGGAACCCTGATGTATTTTTTCCCATTTTTGTTTTGGTGGTTTTTCCCTTACTAAAAGAAGGCAGGATGGGGAGGCTAATTGGATGGAACCAAGAGCATCTGATGGGTTTTTGTTGGTTCCTACTTTGGAAATGTTTGGAGACACTCGGAAGTAGGGAGGGAGTAGTACCCCAGGTACCGACCGCCCAGCTTCAGCAGCTAATACCTAGTCAGTCGGGCGCACTTCTTTCAGTTTTGACAGAGTTTTAAAAGCCATGGTGCTAAAAATTAAAAATAAAATAAAATTTAAAAAGCACTATGGTGCTCATAATGGGTAGATTTCTTTCTTTTTTTTTTTGAGATGTGTTTTTTTTTTGCTATAGGGCATGTGCGCTTGTCAGAAAGACGGAGAGAGACAGAGATACAGAAAGCAAGAAACCCCCCCCCCCGGGCGGCGGTGGCCACACCACAATCCCTTCTCCTCCATTCTCCTCTCGGGATCTTGGGCATGCACGTACACGTGCCCGGCATGAGTTTAAGTCACCAGGTCTGGGTCTTGAACCCGTTGACTACATGGGAGTCCAGTGACATAGCCATTACGCCAACTGCTGGTCCCATAATGGGTAGATTTCTTGTAGGGGTGACCACAGGAATAGAAAAAGCTGGAGCCCAGCTCATCCAGGCTGGGTCTGAGTGAGGTCCTGGCTTTGCCTCTGAGTGTTGGTGTGGAAGCAGGTCATTGTGGATTTGTAGAGGGCGAGGGCCAGGTACCGGCTGCCGCTTCATCAACTCCGGTTCTGAGCCCCGAGGCAGAGTGCCATGCTGCTCTCGGTTCCACAGGGGCTGAGCCCACCTGCCAGCGCTGCAGGACCATAGGGCTGACTGGTAGAAGGAGGGTCATGAGGAAGCCGAGATGAGCAGCCCTGCGTGGCCCAGGGTCTGCCTGTCAGGGCTCAGCCAGGTGCCTCTTGGGTCTGTGCAGGTGACCCTCTTCGAGAGCTGGGCAGTGAGTGTGGGATCGAGTTTGACGAGGAGAAAACCGCTGTCATTGACCATCACAACTACGACATCTCTGACCTTGGCCAGGTAATCAGGCCTTTCACCCTCCAGGTCTCAGGCACGTGCAGCAAAGCGCAGCTTGGCCTGGAAACCAAGCACAGGTCGGGAGGACGCCCTGGCCTGGGGAGCCCTTTTCTGAGCACCCAGCTTTCCCTTGCTCTTCGCAGCATACGCTCATCGTGGCCGACACCGAGAACCTGCTGAAGGCCCCCACCATTGTTGGGAAGTCGTCTCTGAGTCCCATCCTCTTTCGAGGTGTTGGGTGAGTGAGAAAGGAGAAGCCAGCAGAAATTTAGAGGGAGAAGGGGTTATTTTTCTGGGGCAGCTCAAGCCAAACTTGTGATTACTTGGGAACATTCCTTACCACAGACGGTGCAGATGTGGTGGATTTAGTCCATCAAGAGCCCAACTCCATTGTCATTGCAGGAGGAGAGCTAAGTGTTTGGCCGTCACGAAAGTGTTCATTCTTGGGGAGGAAGACATGGCCATGGGGGCCCGTGTCCTCTAGGTTCAGCTCCGGGGTCAGTGTAGGGTTGCTCTCTCTTCGTGCTACAGGATGGTGGCTGATCCTGACAATCCTTTGGTGTTGGACATCTTGACAGGCTCTTCTACCTCGTACTCCTTCTTCCCAGATAAACCCATCACCCAGGTAAGGGCCTTTGCAGCCTCTGGGCCCACTGGCAAAGTGCTTCTTTATTTGAAAATAAGAGCACAGCAGGGCCAGCTGGACCCCACATGGTCGACTGTGCAGTTTGAGTCTTGGACTTAGTGGCTTGGGAAGCATACCAGGCACTTGTGGGTGTGCACCCAAAATCCTGAGAGGACAATGGAGAAGGGACTGTGGCATCGCCATCCTCCCTGGAGGGTGCTTTCTTACTGTCCCCCCTGCTCTCTGGTGAGTACATGCTCCCTAGAGCAAAATTTAAAAAAGAAAGAAAAAAGAGTGAAGCAAGAAAGCACACTTTGTAGAGGCTGATGAGGTGACAGGGTGGTAGGAATGGGGAGGTGGGCAGAGGCCCTGGTCCGCAGGCTCCTCCCTCAGGCGGAGGCCTCAGGTGTTTGGGTCCAGCTGCTCTCTTGTCTGAGGACCCGGTGGCTTCCCTCAACCCTGGCACTACTTGAGTGACAGCCCATTTTATTCCCAGTATCCCCATGCAGTGGGGAAGAACACCCTCCTAATTGCTGGGCTCCAAGCCAGGAACAACGCCCGCGTCATCTTCAGTGGTTCCCTCGACTTCTTCAGCGATGCCTTCTTCAACTCAGCAGTGCAGAAGGCCACGCCCGGCTCCCAGAGGTAGGTCCCAGGGGCCGGGATCTGAGCGGCGCAGCCCGTGCCTACATGGAGCTCAGGTGGGAGGCGGGGCCTGTTAGCTAGATGTGTCAGATCCAGAATCGCTTTCAAATTGTTCAGTCTTGACTCTGTTGTTGTGTTGCTGGTTTCAAGGTGCTAATGGCTTAACTAGAGATCCTGGCCTCCACCGTTTTAGAAAATGGGGTTTGCTGTGCAGACACCCAGAGCGACACCCCATCTGCGCTTTCTTCTGCATCCCCTTTGTCCATCCTGCAGAAGAGCGACGT